ATCACTTATATGCATACAACAGTTTATTCACTTACATGAAAGCTCCAAAAAAAGAGTACCACTGGGTGTGAGTTACAGGCAGCACCCGAACAAGTCGAGTTAAGCTTTAGGAACCTCTTCTTGGGAACTCTGGTTCGAGCGCATGGAAGTGTTTACCTGCAGTCGGTCGATAAATTTGACAAGAAAAAAAAGTCTTAAATCAGAGATGTGGATTCACGAGAACCCGTGTCCCAGAGAAGGTTTAGGGATTTATAGTGAACTTTACAATAGAATCCACTAAATGCAGACAACCATGAGAGTCTCTGTATTTTGGATCAGCAGGCTAATGTCAAAACAGTGGTAATGATGCACTTTAAAGAGATGCTTCAGGACTGCACAGTGTGAAACACCAGTGTCATTGGCTTGTTTAACTTTTAGCTTCACTTTTTTGAGCAGCCTGGTGCAAGTGTGAGACAGAGACGAGGGTACAGGCTGAGAAAACGACTGACCTTTGTGGGATTATCGTATTGTGCTTTACATTTTACCTTATCTGTGACTCTTGATGGCATATTCCGTGTCACTGTCCACCTGTAATAGTTACATGCACAAATGTGTCACAAGTAAGACAAGTGCCAAGGGGTCATTAGGGTTCAAACTGTTAAAAAAATAAAGTAGTGGCTGTCTAACACACCTTCTTTTAAGGAATACTTTGAAACAAACTGACAAAATAAAGATATCGAGTGAAGTAATTGATGTGTTTCATCTTTTTTTTTTTTGTATCAATCACACACACACCCACTGGCTGCTCGTTTAGCACAGCTTGTTAATACTGGGTTGGGTCCAGACATGTCAGCTTATACCTAATAAACTGACTGGTGAGTGTACATCACTGATTTAAATGATCTTAGAGCCTGTGCACACAGGTAGGTGCAAAGCAAACATAGTTATGTGCAAGTGCAGGGCGCACATAGGTTCACCTTTTCCTCTGTGCAATTGCCAACATAAGTCTGCTACTGCCTATCCCAGCATACTCCCATTGCTACATGGCAGTAATACAGTTTTTGGCCTTTGACAGAAAAGCAATTTATAAATTTTCACAGCTTGCCAAGTCTGAGCCAGTATTTTCTAGGAAAAAGTTTGAAAAAAAGTGATAGGAAGTCATACAGCACATAGAGAAAAATCAAGTGCAAGAGTTTAGAGATGCACTGGGGTGATAAAAGGATGGAGGTAACTGCAGAGAAGAGAGCAAGAGGGGGATTTAGCATCACTCACATGCTGCGCTCGATCATTCCCTCTTTTGTGTAGTGGACAATGAGGGCCAGAGGTACGGGGGCTTAAAAAGGATACGCGCACTGTCACAGCCAACAAACCTGGAGAGCGACCAGCCAAAACCAGAGGTATCAGTTTAAAAATGTACAAGTGTAAAAGAACGTAACTGAGTGTATTTGCCAGGAAAATATTAGAGTCTTTGAGGCCTTAAAGGGAAAAGGACAAAATTGCTTTTGAAGAGGAAAACCTACAAAGATATAGAAGACATGAGGTGTCAAGATTGGTGATTTTTATTTATATATTTATTTATTTTAACTGAGAAAGGATCTGTACAGCTTACAAACTGGACCTGTGACCCCAGTGTTGGTTCATGTTACTTAATAGAAATATATGGGACTTAGGTATAAAATTTCTTTGGATGTTTGGAAATTTTTTGGCGAGAAGTACGGGAAAAGTCGGTGCATGAAGTTGCTGGTTTACTGGCTGGCTGACAGAGCAGCAGTGCTGACGGTTCAGTTACTCAGTGATGGAAGATTAGTTTGTGGAGCACGGAGGGGAATTAGTGATGAACAATGGCTCTGAACTGCCTGTTAGGCAAGCTTTTTGTCATACAGCAGTTTGAGTCAAGTGTTTTTCTGACTATATCCAATTCTAGAATTAAATTAAAAGCACATTTATCTGATGTGGTGATACGAAATGTAACTTTTCCATCAAAATGCATCAAGATAATGTCTCGAGATTTAAAAAGGAAAACGTGCTTTAAACAGAAAGAGGTAGCTCCTCAGACTCGCAACAAGTTTTGGATTGCTTTTATTGCAGTTATAAGAACTAAGCCACGTGCATGTGTGGCAGGGACTTGCTCTTTGCTGTCTTACTAGATGTAGATTTGGTAATGGATTTCTGTAATTAATGAGGAGCTTAGCTTTGTGCATTTTTATGTGATCATCTAAAAGCCTCGAGGGTCGACAGGAGAAAAAACAAATCCAAAGACTGTGTGCAGCTGATCTTTCAGGAAATTAATATGTAAGTGTTGTGCACAAACTCTTAATTCTGTATTTTCCCCAACTCTGTCCTCTCTTCCCCGAGCAGCTGTTGAATGTTTAGGAGGACAGTCTCTTGCCAGGCGTCTCCACAATGCTGTATACTTTAGCAGGAGGAGGCACCCTCTGCGGCGTGGCCGCCCTTGTGCTTCTCATAGTTTCTACAGCGACGGACTTCTGGATGCAGTATCGATACTCTGGCAGCTCGGCCAATCAGGGGCTTTGGAGATTCTGCATCAACCACAAATGCCACGCCCACACCATCACTGTAGGTGAGTGGTCCACCTCAAGATTTTTTGTAACAAACTGATAAATTTAACTGTAACAAAAGTATCTGAATTCATGCAGACTATGTTTGTGTGAGTAGAAAAATTAGTACAGCATAGAAAGCTAAAGCAAGTGCACATGGTTTATATGTAGGCTTAAAGACTGCAGTACCTCAGTTATTCAAAAAATAATGTTTAGCACGTTTAAAGGGCTACATACTGAACTTGGAGGATATTATGCTAGTATCGACCAAATATCAATATCAGTGTTGCTAGCGATACTGTCCACCTACCTCTACACTGCAACTGTGTGCTTTTTCTAAAAGTTAACTGGCTACAATTCTTATTTACAGTTAAATATTTTAAGCAGATGATTCTTAAGTGTTTTACACAAATAATCAAATTCATGGCAGGTTTTGTGACTTCTTGGTGAGGCAACACGAGCTGCACAATCAGTGCAAATGTAAGTGTATGTGTAAGTGTATATTCAGCATGTGGACATGGTTCTGACCTTTTTGTTTCCAGCCTTCTGGGATGCCACACGGGCCTTCATGCTGCTGGCAGTGCTGAGCTGTTTTGCTGGCGTGGTGCTTGGACTGAGCGCTTTCACTAACGGCACCAAGAACCGGAGAGTGCGCACAGGTGGCATCGCCCTGGTCCTGTCAGGTAAACCAAGAGTAATCAGATCAGAAAATACAAATTTCAATACAGTTTTATTTACACTCAATAATCACACCAACAGTCACACGACCAGTTGGGGGTGATAGGGGGCAGCCTGATGCCAGCCCTCTGTCTTGGGTTTTATTTTTGGAACTCTTCCCATCATGTAAAAGATTCCAGAAGCAATTATACATTCAAGTCCTGAATGCAAACTAATTAACTAAATGTCTTGTGTTGATTTTCTTTCATATTTTGGGGGCAACATACAGGTCTCAAAGAAATATGTCTTCATGTTTTACCCAGTGGATTTTTTCTGTCTCCTCTGTTCTCAGGTTTTCTTGCTCTGCTGGCTTTGGCAATTTACACTGGTGTGACTGTTACCTTCTTTGGCAAACGCTTCTTGGACTGGCGCTTTTCCTGGTCCTACATCATAGGCTGGGTTGCCATTATTTTGGCCTTTGCAGCAGGTTTGAATTTTATTTATTTTCTTATTTTAGGAGTCATGTTTAATGTAAGTGAATCACAGGCAACATGCTTTTTTATTATTATTTTTAAATATTTTATTATTATTTACTATTTTTCTAATAAGTAATAAAACCAGAGCCTCAGTATGAGGCTTTTGTCAAATATCAAACTTGATGATAAAATGACAAAAGGGCATTTTCTGGACACATTTAGGTGGACTAAGCAGCTTCTTGGCATTTCCTACCTTAGTAACAATTACTCATGGCTACTCTGTCCTTCTAATGAGTTTTCATTGTTTGAGAGCCATCGTTTTTAAGAAGGTATTTTAATACTTATCTACATATCATTTCCTTTTAGGCGTGTTCCAACTCTGTGCCTACCAGCGGACCACTGCAGAACCTGCTCCCTCCAATAACCCGGAGAGCTGAACAGCACTAACGCACTGCTCCGCTTGCAGACTGTTGCTGCTTTTGAGTACCTAGGATGGAATAAATAAATATAGATTCCTTTCTTTCTGGTTTCCCTGTAATACATATTTGACACCACGTGCTAGTACACGACTGCTTTTACTTTAATGCAGATACATAAACTGTGACTGTGTGAATTATTGATTTAAAACCAATTGAAAAATAATATTCCAGTTGGTTTTTAACACTTTATTTAACCAGAAAGTCAAACTCTTAAAATGAATGTCGTTTAAAGGTTATGTGACGGATTGTCCACTAGATGGTGCTCTAATGCCACAAACAGGAGGTATGCAAGCGCTCTGCTCAAGAGGAGTCTCTTCCTTAAGTTATGCAACTCGGGCTTTAAATCATCTATGAGGTTTCATTAAGTCTTGATTCTGCCTGTTCATCTGACTCTATTAATATTTACCAACTATATAGATACAAGTCATCAACATATAAAGTAAGCGTTAATTGTTGATACTGCTGGGAATACCTTTATATCAGTATCAGATAATACCAAGAGACAATAATTATTGTAAGTCTTAGTGCACATTAAACGCTAAAGACTCAACCATGAATTTCCTGCATACAACACTGAAGAATGTGTTTTTCCCATGACTTCCAGTTACAACTCATACCTGATTTTCAATGCCTGTGTGCGTGCTAGTAAATCCCAAGGAGGCGGCCGTGGGTTTAGAAATTTCTCAGCAAACACTGGCATGAATTGGAAATGGGTTTAAAAGGCGTGTAGTTATTTAGATTGGATAGTATCCAAGTTACCTGCCACTCCCAGACTTCATGTTTTCCATCTGTTTACCACGTCCAATTTATCAAAATAAAAAAGGAAAAATATAACAGAGCACAGGATATTATTTACTGAAACATTTGATTTATTTTGAACAATAGCAAAGTCATCTCACAGAGACTACTTTGAATTACACAGAATGCAAATAAATATGGGACAATAATAGAATTAAGGGCGTTAACAAATGATACAAAATTATTTACAACACTTGTAATAGTGCAAAACCTCACAACTACTACCCTCCTCGCTGAATTAAAGGAGTCTTTTTGAGGACAGTACTTGCGTGTGTGTGCTGCCCCCAGGTGGGGGGGGGGTGTAAGAACTGACAGTACTGTATGTGGCATTATGAGAGTAACCTTAACTGAACATCACAAAAGGACTCTCCTGAGAGCTTCCATAAAGGTGATGCTAAATCACTGAGATGGATATGCATTGTTAGTTTAAACAGGTCGTACAAAAAAAGGGGGGGGGGAAACAAACAAACAAAAAACCAACAGCCAGAAAGCAAACAGTTTTATCAATTGGTAAAGTTGAGCAAACTCAATGAAACAGTGTTCTTCCTTTAAGGAACACTGGAGGAACCACAGAGGATAGAATGTGAACCCCACCATGAGAACAAGACTTTGAAATGAGCGGAAAAGTTGACAACCTAAAACCACATGGTGGGTAGTGCCCCACCACCCCTGAGTGAAATCTTTTTTGTTGTTTAAAATAAGGTCTAAGCACCTTTAGTTACCACAGAACACCACTTTTGCCATTTCTTCTCAATCCAAACAGCGTCTTGGATTGTGACAGGCACACCACAAGTTTTTAAAGTGCGCTTGCTCCCTCGAGACGATTCTTTCACTCAATTTCCACGAACCCACGAACATCAAGTTCCATTTAAAAGACAAAACAAACAAACTGCTCACAGAAATTACATTTTGTCATGCAAAACAATTCGTTGCATATTGAAATTTCTTTTTGGGACCACTTGTTTTACTTATGATAATCTCGGACCTTGCAGCAAGTGTGGTTATTTAAGAAGAAGAAAAAAAAAAAAAATCCTCTTCAGGTGACAAAGAGTACACAGAATCAGTCAAGTGCCTGTTTTTCCCCAGACACCTACATTAGAAATATGTTATTGGTGCTACTTTAAATAACCTGAAGAAATGCCACCTTGGTCCCCAACAGGCCTGTCATAGAGAGAGGTTTGCAGTTGACATCAAAAAGACAGGTTTGATTGCTACTCTTGAAGACCAAAGTCAGCGAAAAGCTGTACTCAAAAACATTTCTTTACCTAATACAGCTTCCTAATATTCTTGTGTATTTTGTGCATTGTTGATGCATTCATCCAGTAGAGACTGGGAGGGAAAAAAAAAAAAATCACTTCTGAGCAATGATCATTAAACAGGTTTAAATCCTGCCAAACTCAAGTAATACTGCAATCATTTCTGCTTGGACAGAGAGAGAAAGAGAGAGAGAGAGAAAGGACAAGACCATCAGGAAAGTATCGAGCCTCTGCGGGCTGATCTGAAGTTTGGATCTTAGCCATCATCATTTCAACCCACCGCGGATTCGGAATATAAGAACCATTTGAAGAGAAGTACCCGAAAGTGACTGGATTTAAAAGGCGTTTAGACACCACTGCTGATTGAGGGCTAAATAACAGACAAAAACATCATTCCATCATCACTCATGCAAAAGACGTGTGCATCTTTGGCTATGCATAGCACTACGTCGAGAGAGGTGAGGTGCAATCATCGGCACTACAGCAGGCTAATGCTTTAAGCCCTGTTCAAGAATGCATGCTCAGAAAGAAGAGGACAACGTAAATTCACAGATGTGGAACAGTTGCTGCCAGAAGCGTGCCTATCGACTTGACTAATGTGGCACCTCACTAAGAGTCGTTTGGCTTTGGTTCAAACAGACACTGCAACCAGGCAGTGCGTGTACATGTTTTTGGCTCGGCTCTATGTGACTGGGTCGCAGCATGTCCTTTTGTTTTGCTGTGTTTACTGCACTTGGAGGAAATATAGCCCTTCAAGTCAACAAGTTGTGTCTGAAATTGCACATGTTGGCCACTCTTCTTTTGTGCAGGCCACATCGAGACCAAAGTCTGAGTACGTTAAAGTTCCCTGGCTGGTTCTGCTGGGAAGAGGCAGAAATTATCTTCCGATCATGAGTCAACCAATCTCTCCTTAAGTTGCTGATTGTTATGTGTCTTGTTGGTACCTGTGAAAAGAAAGAGAAACAGTGCGTTAAGCTACACCTACTCCTGGAATTACATTTGTTTGCTCGGCTGCAATATTAACTTAGTCTTCCTTCGAGCAAACTCGTGATCAAAATGTAGATGACTGAATTCCCAACACTCCCTCTGCAAACAGTTTGGAATTATTGATAAATGTAAAGATGGGAGCATTATTGTCCTTCAAGCAGATCAGCAGCATGTTTCAGGGTAATTGAATGCAACTACTTTATACGGGTTCGGGTCCACTGGTCCCCTCAAAAGAAACAGTCAGTGGAAACCGCGCTTCTGAGTGATCACCTCTGATAAAACACCTATTCTGAGCTGATGTACTAAGGTTTTCAGTCATGATCTGTACTTTTGCAAACGCTTGGCTGAAGATCACACATAAATTTCTATACATAAAGACACTTACAACATCTGACTAAACAGGCAGTGGCCCAGGATAAGTCAGATTTTCCTAGATTATAACACATGTTTCCACCCTTTCTTCCTCTCGTCTACAGGATCGGAGCCAAATGAGCAGGAAAAAACTATGCAAATTTTTCTCTTTCTCATCTCCTGTGTCAAGCTGCAGCCCTCTTCTCTCTGCAAACATGCCAACACACAAGATTTAAAAAAAAAAAAAAAAAAAAAATCAAGGACATTTTACCTGCTCTGCAAGTTGAATTCAGGCAGAGCGCCCAGGGACGTCAGCTGTTCCTCCAGGGCCACGATACGTAAACCGATGTAGCCCGAAGACAGCAGCAGCAGCACCACCCTACAACATATAATATAAGTCAGATTCACTGCCTGGGTGTCAAAGAATCAAATGCAGACCTTTCCATAGATTCAACCAACAGCTGCTCAAACAAAACAGACTAAATAGCCAATTCCAAAGTGATGCTAGAGCTAATGCATTTTTATAAAATATGTAATATTATTAAAAACAGACTGAAATTTTTGTTTCTTAACAATTGTCCCATTTAACAAACTAATAAATCACATAAATAGTTGACAAGTTACTTTTGTTGGTATATTCTACAAGATTATCTGCTTTAGAACCACTTTTTACTTTTTCGCCCCTCAAATTGAGAATTTGGGAGTGAAATGCAAGTTCAGATAAAGTCATGAGGATAAAGACAGCTGGGAGAGAAGGATCTACTCACAAAATCAAGTAAATGAAGAGCAGAGTGTTGAGGTTGCTGGCCTCTCTCTGAACCACCAAGGACTTGGCTTTTTCAGTCACATTCCACACCCATGATCCACCTAAAACATAATATAATAATTTAACACCAATAACAACACCAAGATTTTAAGGTCCGTTGCAAGCAGTTGTGATATTATAATTTCAGGCCTTCGATATTTATGCACAGTATTCCATATCCTACCAGCATAGGCAAAACTAATGCCAGTAACTAGTGTTAACTGGCCATGTGTTGCTTACCTGACACAGACAGCTCTTCTGTAGATGAACTTTCACTCTGCTGCATATGTAGGCTCTTCAGAGAGGAACCATTTACATTAGGCACTGCCTCTGTAAGCAGGAGAAGCAAGAGAGGGGGGAAGTTAGACTTGTTTCTGATCGAGATGGTAAACGTGCAAAGTTCAAGGTCTGATAGGAGAAGAGTAGATAACGCTATCAACACATAGCACTGTCAGCTGAGGTCTTGCAGCATTTTCAAGTTATCTTTTAAGAAACGCTACAAGTTACTAACAAGTAACAACAATAATGCATTTAAAAAAACAAACAAAAACAAAAGACAGCTCAACGCTTAGAGGTGGTGCTGAATTTTCACCTGTATGCAGTCTATGCAGAGGGCGGTCCTCTTGTAAAGTCTGAGACTTGGAGCCATTGAATTGGTCGAAGCTATCGTCCAGACTGGACTGGCTGGAGTTCTGTCAGTAAGATGAACACAGAACAAAAACCATCAGTACAAAAAAAAAAAAAAAAAAAAAAAAAAAAAAAAAAAACCGGAGGGGGAGAAAAAACAAAAAGAAACAATCATGGTTTTAAAATGCAGAAAAGAGTTACTCACCACAAGTTTGTTCTTATCAAAGCTGTTTTCAGCTGAGGAGAAGAGAGGGCTACTGTTTGCACTGACATCCTGAGACAGAGGCATTAAAACAAACAAACAAAAAAAGTATTAAGCTGTCATTCATGGAGTTTATATTCTGCACGCTCTGAAAAGGTTTATTTAAACTTGTAGATGCAACAGCATGGCTGGAAAAGCACATTCGTTGCAAGACTTCCAAGAAGCCAACAGTGACATGGTATAGTTTTACAATATTGTGATCCATTGCAGAAATTTAGATTTCTTTTGTGACCTCAGCCACTCACCTCTAGCTGAGGACAGACTGAACGCAGCAGCTGAAAACACGACTCTCTATTCCTCAGAGCCACAAAGAGGTACTGCACAATGGGAGGGAATATAAAGAAAACAAAACGAACATTAGCCATCTGCCCAACATAAAAGGTCACCCAGCCACTGACTACATTACATATAAATCAGAGTTCAAAGCTTACGTTTGACTTTGACTGCACACACTGTGTAGGCTCAATAAGTGTTAACTAAAGATTGTGTGAGGATAAAGGTGAGAAACTGACCTTATCTCCCTCTGTGGTGCGAATTGACAAGGCGTTGGGTACCAGCAAAGCTGTATTCTGCTTTTTCACTCTTTTAATGCAGGAAACTGGAACCACTACCTGCAAAGGCACACGAACACACACAAAGAAAAGGTCAGACTTGCGTCAGACGAATCCCACAACGAGCTAAAAAGAATGATGGGCGAGGTCTGAGCTGATAAATACCTTAGTATCCTTAAGCAAAACAGAGGAAAAGAAACAAGCATGCGTGTCAGTGATGTATAGCCGACCATGGTAGGGCACCTCCTTCTGCAGGGCGCAGATGTATGCTGGGAGAGGAGAGCAGAACCGTTCAGTTTTATGCAGCTTGTTCTTTTTTTAAAAACTTTGATTCTTCATTTAATAATTTTTTTAAAAACTTACCATGAATCAAGTCTTCACTCTCAGGAATGTCTGGAAACAACTTGTGAAATGTTTTGTTGTGCTTTTTAAAACTCTGAAATAATAAAATTGGATTGTTTTTTAATTAAAGTGAAATACTTTCTTCATCAGTTTGCTTCTTTTTTTTTTTTTTCTCTCATCAGTTTGCTTTTAAAGTTGAGGTGGACTTACACTTTGTGAGCCGGTGCCCTCGGTCTTCTTAGAGTCTTTGCTGTCGACGTCAAAAGTTTGCGCCCTGAGGAGAACATGAAATAAGAGTGATTAAGGCATGACTAAAAAGGAAATGAACACAACATTTTACCCGCATGAACCATATCATCTGACTTTTTCCTGGATTACAAGGCTCATGTGAAGCTGCCCTGATAGGTCCTGTGTCAAATGAGCAGGAAAAATATGCAAAACTCTCTCTGCCATGTTTATATTTCTTGAATTGCAGCCTGTCTTTGACTGCCACACACAAACACACACAGCACTACATAGCAGTGAAGCAGTGATGGAGTTAGAAAGAAAGTAAAAATGACGACAATTACTTTATTTAAATGTAAAACGTTAACAATTACTTTGTTAGGAAACCTGTTCAACAACCTTAAAAATGTTGACAAGTGATATTTTCACCTGCTCCCACGCACCCATGGTATGTTTTCCACAAGCACAGCACTCATATTTAAATTTGTCACATTCTTTTAATCTTTAGCTACGAGGTAAGGCAATGACTGAGATTTAACACTCCATCTGAACTACTAAAACGCTTATTTATAGCATTATCTATAAATGGGTAAAGCTGCCAATACGGTTATTAAAAAAACAAATCAGCATTTGAATATCTTTGAATCTCTTCAGAGTGTTCACTATGCCCACATAACTAGACAAAAGAAATAATCAAGACTGAATCATCAGGAATAAAACTCATCCCCACGCTCATGCATTTGAATCATGTGAGAAACCAGCCTACATGGGGTGTGTGGTCATGTGTGCATGATGCCTGAGGGGGGTCAGGTCTTGTGATATGTGTTCTCAATGAGAGAGTCCACATAACATCAGCTGTGTAACCGTAAGCACCTCCAGGCAGTGAAATACTGTTAATTTATTATGGAGTTTTATTTTTTCACCCATTTAAAATGTTTATCTCTTTATTAAAACAAATGTGAGATTAAAACAATTTATTGCTCTACCAAATTTAACTGATCTAAATAACAGAGTACACACAAACGTGGCTCTTTGGGAAAGTTTTAATTCAACACATTAAGCCACCGTATTAAGAAGAATTAGACATTTATTTATTTATTTTTAAATAGTAAAGTAAATTTAAAGGTTCAAGTTCAATCTTCTACTCCTCCGTGGCGGTGTATAGAGACAAAATAACAAAACGAGTGTCACTTTCCAAAATTTGCATCAGGCTGTTATTAACCGTCACAGAATCCACGTTTTTGGCTTTTGTGTAATTAGAACTGTGTCCCCATGAAGCCCACCTGACAGGTGCTTGTCTGGTCAGGGTTTTGTGCTGTTGCTGGATCTCGAGCTGGGCCGCCTCTAAACTCAAAGCTTTCCTCGCGTCCACCTTTTTGATGCTGCCATTGCTTAAGGTGCTCCTGCTTTTCCTTACTTTGGCTGGCAGCCCACCACTGCTGCTCTCTACTGGGTAGCTGCAACAAATTAAGGGGGGGAAAGGGGGAGGAAAAAAAAAAAAATTACAAAATGAGCCACTTTAGGTTTTAGAAAGACATTCACATGTATGCAAACAATTTAGAAAGTCTCCAAGTAGATGATGACTTTTCACAGTGCAAATACGAGTGACTGCTTTGTTGGACACAAAAAGTAAGTCCGAGCATCCACTGATAGCACCTAAACATGCATTTAAAAATAGTTGCACCAGTCTACCGCAGCCATTTAAAAAAACAGAACATCTTACCACAGGATGGCAAATGAGAAAACCATTTAAAAAAAAAACAACAACAACAACAAAAAAAAAAAAAAAACAGCACAGGGAAACAACAAAACTCAAACATCTACCATCAAAACACAGGTCAGTTAAACACTGCCAATATGTTAACATGACATATTTTTGCTCTACATCAACTTTGGGTGTTTTAAGCCTCTCTTTTAAAAAAACAAAACAAAAAAAGAACAAAACTCCAAATCACTTATCCCTTTCCACTGAAGTCATCTGTAATGCATAGATGTATCTGACATCTATGTCAAACGATGCCCATCTTTGATGGGCTGGCATCCGCTACCCAATCCAAAGAAAAGGTTTTATTGATAACATTGCATCAGAGCTCAGTTGACCAGAAGCACCTGACTGCTTTACAATCTGATCGACGTAGGTTCATGCTCTCAACCTGACATGCCTCTGCAAATATACCATTTCAATAAAGAGTCTTGTAAAAAAGAAGATTACAAGTGTCTCTATAGTCCATATGCTCTGTAAGAAACAATGGCCTGTCCTTGACAAGGAACTAACAAAACAGATTCACAGGATAAGACAGTGGAATGATTACAACATCCTGAAATCCCTAAAACACATAGCCCACATTATATAAGACAGTGTAAAACCTGCATTTCTTGTTAAAAGACAACAACACCACACAAATTAACTTTGAACTTCCACTCACCTGGTAAATTTAAATCGCTTTGATGAACGAAAAGTCATATACCTACTGACAGTAGGCATTTCCTATCCTAATAAATGAACACAATGAATAATTTAAAAAAAAAAGTTTCTTTTTTCTAAAAAGCCTGCGTACAGGCCTCAAGGCAGAAAAGGTAACCAAGAACTAAACAAATATTAAGACTCCCCCCTCCCAGAAAAATCTTTAAAATCCTCTTGACATTATGCATGTAGTTCCAGTTAAGTTGTTGTACATAAGGCCTCTTTACCACATCCTTCTACAGGGGAAAAAAGAAAACAAAAAAACCACCCTGTTGCTCACTTGCTGTATGAATGTGCTAGCAAAGAGGAAGCTGTTTCTATATGAGAATGGTGTGACACTCCGTAGCATGTGACGTCAAACCCAACCACACCCCCAGAACAAAACAAATACAGGCAAGAGCACACACAGTCCCTCCTCTTTCTCGTACACACACACACACACACACACACACACACACACACACCCCTCTGATGTGAAATGAAACAAATCCACAGATCAAAAGCATCAAACTCGAAATCCGACAAGGAAAAAGATCAGCCAATAATTAACAGCCATGTGTATGACAGTGAAGGTGAAATTCTTGTGAAGTGAAAACACTAGCCCTTCTAGAAAGTGGTGCATTATCAATCTCCCCCTTCAGTCAGTGAATCTAACCACAGAGGAAAAAAACAAACCAAATAACAAAAGTTTACATTTTCTGTTAAAAGTAAGGAAATCACCCAACTGTACCAACAGTATAATATGCTGGCTTCTCTAACAGCATCAGCCATTTCTGTGCTGTAATGATTTCTTTTCAGCATGACCTTTTAGTAGGGCAAACGTGAAGAAACAAAGAACATGAATGCAACTGCAGTTACCTGCCCTGTTATTTGGAAAGTATTCCGCTCTGTTATGCAATGCAATACAATCAAGCAAGAGTGGATAACATTTCAGCATCTATGTGAATGTCCAGTTTTTAATCATTGATGTAAAACCCATTTTCAGTCAATTGTAGTTGCACAAACTTTACTCTAGAAACTTATTTTTATTGCATATTTAAAACTATATAAAAACCTCTTTAAAACATTTACCAAAGATTTGGAAACTGTGGGCAAGTAAGTTAATGTGGCTGTTACACTTGAAGAAGGGTGTATGCTGTCACAACAATTTCAGAATCGGGCCTGAACTGCTGGTCGGGTATTCAAATATGCTCACCTGACCCTTTCCTACTTGGCAGACATTAAAGCAGCAAAGCAATATAGGCATGATTGAAATACTACTAGCTTGTTTGACATTCTTACCTACTTCCTCTATTTAGAGCTAAGCAAAACCATTAAGGTTAAAGCCGTTTCCTCTAAGTCAGGAAGCCACAAACACCCGTACATTTCAACAGTGCAGCCTATCTGAAAATTAAACTCCTCTGTGATATTTTCATTGTCAAGCCTTTGCATTAGTTTGTTAACATATCTTCCAAAAACACTGATAACGTCAATGTGCTGGCAAATTAAGAGAGCAATTAAAAAATAATCATCTAAAAATAAAAATAATTCATGTTTGCGTGCCAGAAGTTTTATCTCAAGATTATCAATGAGGCCTCAGTAGAAGAAACTTGCTCAATGGTGTATAAAAACGCCAAGGCCAAAGCAATCAAGGCTAGTGAGTGAGCACCCAGTGTTTATTAAAAAAAAAATTTTTTTAAAAAAAAAGTAATGAAATGAGCAATGTGGGGAAGAAATGATGAAACACCCATGTCCTGCACAGGCTGCAACAGAGGCATTTCTAAATTTCAAAGGCGGTGGTGTTGAGTTATGCATATGTGTTGAATTAATTAGACTAAGGTGCTGACATCTGACCTACTTTCTTGTTCAAGTAACAAATTACAACTTTTTAGTCTAGTTTAAGTATCACTCGTAATATATCACTGCCAAAGACTTTCTTAAATCTGCTTTTTTAGATAAAGTTATGGAGGTATGTTATTCATTAGAACTCATTGTAGAGTACAATATCTGAAAGAAAAGATTCTGTACAAAGAGAAATGTGATATACCTCAGCATAGAACAAAGATTGCCAACAGATATCTTTCTTTATCTGCATTTTTTCCTCTTCTCCCATCTTTAACCAGACAAAGAGCCAACATTAGAGGTCTCAGTGGTTACTAGCTAACAAATCTGAATCCACTGACAAAACAAAGTTAAAAACTGCTTCGGGAAAGTGGATCATCAAAAAAATAATATAGAGTATGACAAAGATCTCTGCAATTTGACACTAAAAGAAAGTTGCGTTTGGCTAGAGCAAGTTCTGCTTTACCTGACAGTCTGAAGATGACTGGCTGAGATCAGTAAGCAGACTCGATTGTTCGTCTTACCTTTTCACATCTTCCGAGCAATGAGAATCCACAGGACCCGGCTGGTTCAACAAGACTTTTGGTCTTTCCATGACCAACGAAATTCTCCCTTCTAGTCTTCAACAGTCCCTGAAACCTTTGGCCAAGACAGGCGACTATAACAATGGTAATACCTTTTGAACTTGGACCTAGGTGAGTTAGGAGCCAAATCAGAAGCCAGGGACTAAAGGTCTTTTTAATGGCTTAAAGCGCGTGTGCTAGTTCAGCATGAAGACAAAAACACCAGATCCAGAAACACGCAGCAGGTCAGTAGATGGGAAACAGCAGAATGAACACAGTAAAGTTAAAAAAAAAAAAAAAAAAAGGTCATTTGATTTCAAACCCCCAAATCTCCTCCCAAGCTCTCTCCTTTCTAATGCAGCTTTAGTATGCGTTGTCAGGGAAACAAGTAACAGTGGGAGGTAGTTGATAAAAATGTGGAGGCCGAGGGAAACAGTGCCGGGTTATTCTTAGTTTGCATAGGCAAACAACAAAATTCAATAGCCTGTTCTCAATAACAATGGGGCCGTGACTTCAGAAGCAGCCGACAATATGACATGCACGCATGACAATAGCCAACCCAGCCTTTGTAGATGATGTGAACAGGGCCATCAATGTAAGG